AGCCAGACTGTGTCCCCACCTTTCTGGTTGGTTTGGCACGAAGAAGCACTGGCGTAAAGATCTGTATCCACGTTAACTCACCCTGATGCTAAAACACATTATGGAAAAAGCACAATGCCGAGGTTTAAGGAGTTCTATCGTTCTTCTTAAAAAATGCATTGGGCCCTCCCTGGTGGCACAGCAGGTTAAAGCACAGCACTGAGAAGCTGAGGCCTCCCCGCTTCAGGAGCAGGTCTCTGGCTCAGGGGGGCAGGGGGACAGGGCCTCCCCCCTTCAGGAGCAGGCCTCTGGCTCGGACACACGAGGTGGACAGGAGCTCGGCCCAGCGGGGGCAGTTGCCGCCTCAAACAAGGAGCTGGTCTCTGCCACCTGGGGGGGACGTAGGTGTTAGCTCTTACCTTCTAGATCAGAGGCTCAGACGGAGAGAACCTACAGAGGCCTGTGTGGACAAAGACGTGGGGCCGAGGTTGGCTTTAGATGAATGCACTGGGGAGGGCTGCGGCTGCAGGTGGGGCCAGGAGCGCGCAGGGTCGGTCCGGCTCCTTGTACTTGTGTGAGACCAGTTCCAAAATAAAAGGCTCCACAAAAAGCCCGGTGGGATCTACCTTAGAAGTCTGCAAAAAGGTGACAGCAGCCCTGGTGGTTTCTGGAAAGGGCCGGACAGAAATCGCCTGCGGTAGCAGGGGCCAGCGTGTTGGTCCAGTTTACCTCTCTCTCCCCTAGTGAGACAGACGTAATAAAACGGGACGGCCAGGGCAGGCTTGACTGTTCCCACAGCATCCTACCTGCATGCTGCCATTTACATGCCAGGGGCAATCATTTTGATTTTTTAAAAAAAAAATTTTTTTTTGGTTCACCTGGCTAGTTTATTTATTAAGTTTTATTGCATTTCTTACTGGGTAAGACTTCCAAACTGAATAAACAGCATTTTAAAAGGCGAAAGTATTCATGGCCCTGGGGGTGGGAATGGGGGGGTCCAAGAAGAGGCAGCAGGCAGGGTCTCCAGTCCCCCAGGCGGCCCAGGTAGGGCAGTCCCTTGGGGGAGGGGGCCCTGGCGCCCGGAGCACTGCCAGCCTGGGTTTGCCGAACTGCGCGGCCTAAATTTTCCCCAGTAAACTTGCTAGAACACAACAAACTATCTTTTAAGAGCAAATGCCTGCCAGGACTTAATGTCACCGGCTGTCTCGCCTTCGTTAGGGTCCCGTCTCACAGGGTCTCCTCCAGCTTCTCCCTCTG